TTTTGTTCATAGACAAGGCATTTTCTGGGAACCATGAAAACAATAGATTCAAAGATTTAGAAGAAAGTTCCCACTATTCCTAACTTAAAACATATTGGAATAATTACTGATATATAAGATTATCTATGTATTGATTATACCTATTTTTATTTTAACATGTGATTATTAAGATTGTTCATATAAGTCCATTTTAGGGTCCTGCTGCTAATATTGAAATAATTCTCCTTATTGACATGAAGTTACTTTAGTTCACTTTCATTTACAGTCATCCTTAGACCTTACTTTCTTACAATTAATTACTTGTTTGTCATTCATATAGACTATAGGCTATACAGATCATCTATGATAATATTTCTTTATTGTCCTGGTCTTTTGTGATTTAGAGTGATAAAAAGATAGTGTATCTTTCTGATCAGACGTACCCAAGAAAGAGAGCAGAAATGTGTTAAAATGTATTATCTGATAGATAATTATGTTTATTAAATTGTTGTTGTATATTGATTTCCTTTTATTTAAGGACATCTCAGAAATCTGATAGTGGGCAGAATCCAGTATTCTTAGCAATTTGATCAAATGCCTTTCATAAGTGAATTTTACTTTACACTTTTATAATCTCAGTGTGACTTGGTGATTTTAGAAATATTTACTTTGATTTGAGGGTTGTTGGTATATTGGAATAAAATTGTGTTTGATTCAGCTGGATCTAAATCTTCACTGGATTTGTTTTTGTTTTTTTTTTTAACAGGGGCAGGGGTTCCATGATTTCTGAGACCTCTGTGCTCTCTAATTCTGTCCTTTTGCCTAGTGTGATATCTGTCATATTTTGGTTGACTTTTTGAATGTAATAGGCCTGTAAGAAAATCTCCTATTTGACATCGAGAGCTGAGATTTTGGGTAGGGAGGAAAATGATAAGGCCTTTAAAAGTCAGAAATGCATGAACTAAATTATGTAAGCTAAAAAGATATTCCCAGCACAGAAAAAGAAAGAAAAAAGACATTCTAGACATAGCCTCCCTCCAAAGTTAAGTACAGAAAAGGATGTGGTGTCAAAGGCAGGAAGTAATTGGAGTTCATTAAAATTCAGGGAGTATTGTGCATTATAAAGTTGGCAAAGTTGGGACCAGATTTTCAGTTTATTGCCTGTTCTCATTTCAATATATTCTATATTTATATGGTTTTTGGATGTCACAGGTATAGCAAGAATTGGAAAGTAGAAAAGTTTTAGAGAAATTTTATACTTTGGATAGTTATGTTAACATTTTATTAAGCAGCAGCTTAGCATCTTCACTTTGCAGTTGTAGGCATGTTGAAACTAAGAAGGGATTAGAATTAGTCAGTTGAGTATCTTCACTTCCCTTTACTATCTAGCATTGGCTTACTAGACACTTTCCCTGGTGGGTTTTTTGAATATTTGTTCTCCTAATTAATAGGTTTTTGTTCCCCTTTTTAGTTTATCACTCCTCTTTATAATTAGCCTAATACTCTATTCAGTCACTCCAGATTTTCCTAATAGAAAACCAACTATTCTTTCTACTCTCAGTCACTCAACACAACATTTCACCCGTGGTCACCAAAATGTGTGTGGGTTCCTCACATACCAACCAAGCAGTTCTCCAGCAGACACTGACTATATGTCCTACAGTTTAACTCACTTCTGACACTTGTCTACCTGGAGTGTCAGATCCCACTGACTATGGCTCAGTCCCACAAGACTACCCCCACTTTAGGTGCCAGTCACATGCCCCAGGTTGTGACCTGTGCCTTCTCCCTGACTGGCTATAAATCAGGATTTCCACAACCCCTTACATGAGTTCAGTCAGTTTGCCATAGTGGCTCATGGGGAAATACATTTTAACCATGTACTATAAAGGATATTATGTATGATGCAGATGAATAGCAAGTTTGGATAGGTATCTAGGGCAAGGTATATGGGAAAGAGCTTTCCATGCCCTGTTTGGGCATGGAACCCTCCAGCCACCTTTTTATGTTTGGCAATTGGAAGTTCACGGAACCCCACAGCTCTGGAATTTTTATGGAGGCTTTATCATAGTATGATCAATTATTAACTTCATTTATAACCCTTTTCCCTCTCCAGAGAATGGGAAGTAGGGCAGAAAGCACCAAATTTAGGAATATGGCTTGGTCTTTCTGATGACCAGCCCTCATCTGGGAGCCTACCAAGAGTTGCCTCCACCCAGGAAATTCCAAGGGTTTTAGGAGCTCTGTGGCATACATTTCTGAGAGCTCAGAAAATTATAAGAGTTCTAAGAACTTTGTGCTAGGGACTAAGGGATGGATGATAGATAGATAGATAGCCTTATCATCTATATATGTATATAATTTCACATCATCCTATACATTATTTAAGTTCTATGTTTGTAGGTTATCTTTCAAGATCTTTTTTATGATCTCCCATGAATGTTAGAGCTCACAATCATTTGATAAATCTGAAGAGCTCACTAATAGTCATATTTCCCACTAAAAGTTGGAGCTTCTTGTAATAACAAAGATCAAAACTTCTTCCTCTACCAACAAGCAAGCAACCTCTTGAGTATGACCATAACCTTTGCATAGTATCTTGCTAAAAGCTTTCTGTCTACTCTGTCTATGTTTATGGGGAGCATTCATGTGTCACCTGGCATTCCAGTGCTTCACCATCAGTCAGTTGTTCCTATTAGCTACTTATGTAAAGCTCCCAGTGAGTGAAGTTCATCTCACATTTTGTTTTTTGAAAGTTTCCATAAGTTGAGCAGTATGTGAAAATTATGGCTTCTGTTTTGTTTTTAGAAACACCTGTTTAACAGCTGGGTTATGAGGAGGGTAAATGATTTCCAATTAGTGTGATTTCCACCAGTTGTACTCCTCATATTACTGTTTTTGATGAGTAACATATTTCTCAATTGAGTGATTTAAACTTTCTCCTTTTATCCTCTTATGTATGTGCATTTTGCTTTTGCCATCTTTTTAGCGAAGGAAGATTGTAAAAAGTGAATTTACCTAGATATATAACAATTTAAACCTCTTAAAATGATTATATGTCATGTTCCATTGACTTAAGACCTTCTTTAAGAAGAAAAAGCATTAAAAAAAAGAAGAAAAAGCATTCATTTATTCATTTTTAAAGGCAGTAATGTGCTTCTTTTACTTACTGTCTATATTCTAGGGCCACGGATACAAAGTCATCAAATTTCTTATCTTGGAAGTCATATTTATAGACCAGCCCTAAATTCCTTTCATTCCTAGTATATCTCATCATACTATGAAAACAGATTGCTAAATTATCTGTTGTGATAGCATTTGAGATGTGTTGGGAAATGAGTGTGTTTAATTGTGAGCAAGACTGTGAAGGTTAAAAGTAGTTTTTCTAATAATATGAGTGAATAATAACTATGATGATGGGTTAGCCACAAATTAGCCAGAGCAATTAGTAATCATTTTTAATAAATTATGCCTGAGATGTTGGAAAACAACAATCTGAAATGAAATGGTCACTGATTAGGAGAATCAGCTGTTTTTTGCTAAATGCTTTGTGTAAGATTTCTCACCATTATGCTGTGAATAGATGCTAATCATTTATGTTAGGAACATAAGTGAATCTTTTTGCTTGAAAGTAAATTAGTAGTTATTGTATGAAAGTCATCTGTCTGTAAGATATGAAGCAATTTTGAGTGAGATAACTTTTTTCACTAAAGAGCAATTTATATTAAGGTATATATTGTGTGGCTTTAGTCTGATATGCTTGTTGAAAGATGGCATTTTCCTTCTAATGCAGTGATTATTCACCTGTTTTCATCACTGACCCTTCTCTTTCCCAAGAAGTATGGATGTACATATTTAAACAGAAGGTCTTATGCAATTTCAGGAAGCCCATGGATCCTATTATAAATTTCACCCTGAAGGAATGTGGCCCTGTACAAACAGATACATAAATACAAATTATAATATGTTAATAGATTTAGTGGTGAAGGGTATAAGGGATATGAGAACATAAATGAGGGGCAATTAGCTTTGCTTGGGTTTAGGTGATAGTGAATGGAAATGGAAAGGAAATGAGTAGGGCTTGGTCCCAGAAAGTAAAGAATGGAGGTGACATTTAATTACATCTTACTAATTGACTAAAAAGAGAAAAGTACCAAACCAAGTGCTAAGTATTCAGAGAAGCTGGATTGCTCATATGTTGCTGGTGGGCATGTAGGATCATATAGCCATTTTAGAAAAGTTAATTACTGCTGTAGAAAGCTACACATGTGTTAGATATGACACAAGATGTATAACCAACAGTGATCTTTAAAAATTGAACTACTTCTCTAAACTTTCTCAGGCTGAGATGCTGCCATTCCCCACTTTTCCTTAGTTCACATGAAGGCACTGAAAACTAGCACATCTGCCTGAAGGGGATATGCAGATACTGGCCCTGGGAGGTTGGAGTGTATTTCATTTCCTCAAGAGAGAGAGGGGCCAGTGGACGGGGATGAAACTACACAGAAATTTCCTTGTGTGTTGTTTGATTGTACCCCCCTCCACTATAAAATCGCTTGCACACCTGAACAGGGTGAGATGGTGATTTGATGAAGTAAAAGACCCTTCCATCTCCTTTGACACTAACTTTATTTATTTATTTTTTTCAAGAGAAATCATTTATTGATTACACATGATAATGGATGATACATACCTTCAATCCCATCTATCATTTTATCTGGTACCATTATTCAATTTAGATATTGTACAGGATGTGCCAACAATCATTTTTATAACCAAATAACTGACTCTGCTTGCTTGGATGACCTTTTTAATGGTCAAATTCAGAGGTCACAACAGTAACTGTCAGTTCAACTACACCAAGGTTTCTGAAGACAATGGCTTCATTACCCAAGCAATTGTGAAGAAACTTTTAAATGGAACCTGGTATCACCCTGAAGGAATTCTAACTTTACACTTAAACATGTTGGGCATGTTTACCAAGATGGCTTCAGAGTAGACTAACTTTACACAGCACATGTAAAAAAAGACACATTTATTCAGCGTCATGATCAGACTATTATATTTAGCAATCAACAACATGGGTGCAAAAAAAAAGTCTACATTAAAACCCTTTGTTGGAATGCTTTACACTTTCCACAGAACAGAAACTAAAATAACCTGTTATTCAATTAGTCACAAATCCCAAGTTTTTTTCCCCATACACATGAGTATTGTCTAAAACATGTCTTCTTTGTACCAGCTAGGCCCTGCCACCACTGTGCTTGTCTGAGTTCACAAATCTGTTGTAACCTGTAGCTTCCCTGTCACTTCTCTGGCTCTCCTCTCCTGCTAAGCTTTGTTTCCTGGCAGTATTAAAACCTTCTGCCACTGCCATAGCTACTGCTGCTGCTGGAACCGCCATAGCCACCTTGATTTCGTGGTTTGGCAAAGTATTGGCCTCCACCACCATAGCTCCCAGAGCTTCTGCCTCCACAGTTTCCTCCCTTCATGGGTCCAAAATTTGAAGATTGATTGTTGTAATTGCCGAAATCATTGTAGCCTCCACCACCTCCAAAACTGCTTCTATCATTACCAAATCCATTGTAGCCATCCCCACTGCCACCATATCCACCTCCACCACGGCTGCCACTAAAGCCACCTCGACCACGGAAGTTTCCTCCCCGACCAAAATTGTCATTGCCACCAAAACCACCGCCACGGCCACCACCAAAATTTCCAGAACCACTTCGACCTCTTTGGCTAGATGAAGCACTGGCCATCTCCTGTTTTGACAGGGCCTTCCTCACTTCACAGTTGTGGCCGTTCACAGTATGGTATTTCTGAATGACAGTCTTATCCACAGAATCATGGCCATCAAAGGTTACAAAAGCAAAGGCCCTCTTCTTCCCACTGCCTTTGTCAGTCCTGATTTCAGTCACTTCAATTTTTCCATACTGTTCAAAATAATCTCGTAGGTGATGTTCTTCAGTATCTTCTTTAATGCCACCAACAAAGATCTTCTTCACAGTTAAGTGGGCACCTGGTCTTTGAGAATCTTCTCTTGAGACAGCTCTCTTTGGTTCCCCAACTCTTCCATCCACCTTGTGTGGCCTTTCATTCATGGCTGCATCCACCTCTTCCACAGTGGCATAAGTGACAAACCCAAAGCCCCTGGAGTGCTTGGTGTTTGGATCTCTCATTACCACACAGTCCGTAAGTGTTCCCCATTGCTCAGAATGGCTTCTCAGACTCTCATCTGTTGTTTCAAAGCTCAGCTCTCTGATGAAGAGCTTCCGCAGCTGTTCGGGCTCCTTAGGAGACTGACTTAGACATGACGGCAGTTGGAAGAGACACTAAAGATGTTTCCTCGGTGGTGTCCATGAGCCCCTTTGGCACTAACTTTAAATAAAGCTATTTTCTTTTTCCACCAAAGATTGTTTCCCATGTTCTTGGGGAGCAGCAAGCAGTTCAAATCTGAGCACCCAGTAACACAAACACAAGAAAAAAAAACATAAATTGGACTTCTTCAAAAGTAAAAACTTTTGTGCTTCAAAGGCTATCATTAAGAAAGAGATAAGACACTTGTAGAATGGGAGAAATTATTTACAAATCATATATCTGATGAGGAACTTGTGTCCAGTCTATATAAAGAAATTTTATAACTCAATCATAAAAAGACAAATAACCCAATTTTAAAATGGGCAAGAAGGGCCAGAGATTTAGCTCAGTGGTTCCACTGCCTGCCTCATGAGTGTAAGGACCCGAGTTCAATCCCCAGTACCAAAATAAATAAATAAATAAAATGGGCAAGGAATTTGAGTGGATATTGATCCAAAGAACATAAACAAAAAGCCAATAGCACATAAAAAAATGCTGACTATCATTAGCCATTAGTAGAACTTAAAACTAAGGAATTACCAGAGACCCCTGCCAAGGACCCTGATCTCCTGCTCAGTGCTATGATGCAAGGCGAGAAGAAAGATGCAGGGGATGGGATTTAGCTCAGTGGCACTACACCTGCCTTGTAAGCTCAAGGTCCTGAGTTCAATTCCCAGTACCAAAAAAAAAAAAAAGGAAAAGATTCAGAGACAGAATTAAAAAGAAATAGGGAGCTAGAATGGTCAAAGCTTGTGGAAGTTAAGGCCCTGAGCAGCCAGAACCACTGATATTTGTTGGTGACACAATGATTGGTTAAATTGGGCTGAGGGGACTACATGTAGTTGCTAGGGATACATTGCTGATGCAGGGAAAGCATTCTTATGGTAGGAACAGAACAGACCAGATATAGGTTATGGTTAACAATTAACCTTGTCTTTTTAGTTAAAAAGGTTTTAATTTTAGGAACGGAATTTGGGTAAGAGTCACTCTGACATCTGCTGTTGTGTTATCTCATATTACACCCCACAGCTTCATGGGCCATTTCTCTCGCCTCTGTTGTGGCTGTTGGCTGAGAGGTTGTGCTGACTTGCATATCATCTGCAGTGCTCTTATGAGTCATGTAGGCTTTGGTCAGACTCCCTTCTTAAAAGAAGCCAATTATGGGGTTAACTCTTTACAGCCTGCACTGTTTACAGCCTGCTTTGGGCATAATCAACAGGATGGTCTCTAAATAAGAAATGTTTAAAGTATTTAATGCTTTATTAAAAATAACAGTAAGTTAACTGTGTTTAATATAATTATAATTTTTAATCTAATTATATAATTCTATCCTCCAAAGCAAAACTAAATTTTTTAACTGAGAAAAGTGTCATTGTTTTTGTTTTGCAGGTTTTTTAGAAGTAGCCATAGTACTTTTTTCCTATTTATGTTTAATTGACACATAGTGATTGTACATATTTGTAGAGTACATACAATTTGACATTTCAATACATGTATACAATATGTGATGATCAGATCGGGTAATGCCATGTCCATAACCTCACACATTTATCATTTCATTGGAAATATGCAAAATTCTCTGCTACCTATTTTGAAATGCTCAGTTGTCAACCATATTTATCCTGCTGTGCTATAGAACAACTACTCTACTGAAAGTCTTAACCACACTCTCTGTTCTCCCCACCCCTACATCCTGCTCAGGCCCTATCAGCCACTCCTTTACTTTATCTCTATTCCTTTAAGATCAGCTTTTTGGCTTCACATATAAGTGAGAACATGCAGTATTTTTCTTTCTGATTAATATCTTATTTAATAGAAGATAGTGTAGTCTTCATGTGTTCTGCATTTACTGTGTTGCAATATGTTATTTTAGTTGAGATATGTGAAGAAAATTGCCCTTCATACAGATCAGTAACTGGGAAAGGAAAGAGTATTTTGATGGCCTTTTCAGATAAGTGTGAAGTTATTATTTTTTGATATTACATCACCTCAAAAAGTTGTGTTCATGGTAGCAGATACAAGGTTTCCTAAATTCTGATTTTTACTCAAAATCTCAAGTTTATTTGTAATATGTATTGTCGAGTGTTTTCTTTGAAATGACAGGCCTACTTTGTTTATTTTTAAGAAAGTATTTGATGAATACTCGTGCCTAAATAACAATACTTTGTCAGTCATTATTTCAAGTAAAAATCGTATTCTTTTTTTTTTTAAAGTGGGTGATTCAGCTTGCAGCAGTCACATAAGTGAATTTTTTTGAGGCAGTCATTATGTTTCACTAGTCAGCAGAACTCTATGTACTTACCATTTCGTCACAGAGTACTTTAATAATTTTTAGTTCTTTAACAAGGATATTCTGTGTGTGCATGCATGCATAGGTGCAGTACTGGGGATTGAACCCAGGACCTTTGCACTAAGCTACATCCCCAGCTTATTTTTATTTTGAGACAGGATCTTGCTAAGTTGTTCAGTCTGGGCTCCAACTTGTGATGTTCCTGACTTGTATTGCCACCATGCCTAGCTAACAAGGATATTCTTAATTGAAATTGCTTTAGATTTTTAAAAATTTATTGACTGACTCATTCATTGGTTTGTTTTTACTGTGAATATATATCAGTGAAAAATTCAGTGACTATGAGTTTATTTTGTGCCACTACATAGATTCATGCTAAGGTCCAGCAGCTTTGCATTATTTTTACCCTATCAACAGAATATACAAAGGCATATAATGAGCTAGTATTGTTGTGGAAATAATTTGACCTTGCAGATTCACTGAAAGTGTCTCTGGGACTTTTGCTTCCTTGAGGCAAGAAAACTATTGTAATAGCTCTCCTCTAGCTAATTTATTTATATCATAAATCATTTTTGGATGCATACTGCCTTAGTTACTTTTCTCATTGCTGAGACAAAATACCTGACACACAAAATTAAAGGAAGAAAGATTTATCTCAACTCACAGTTTGAAGAGGTTTCAGTCCATAATTGGCTGGCTGCAAGGCAGGGAGGCTTGGCACAGGGGCATCACAGAGCAGAAAGGAGGTAGCAGCAGCAATGGCAGCAGCAGAAGTAGCAGCAGGCCTGCCTTTTATCTGTCTCTTTATACTCCATCCAGTCTACAAACCTATTGATTGGTACCATCCATACCCAGGGTTAAGCACCCTTAACCCCAATATCACACCCTTAATCCAACATAACACACCCTACATCCAGCCAAAGCCCCACCTGTGACTGCATGCAGCTTTGGGGGGACATCTAGACACAAACCGTACCATGAAAGGCTGTAGTAGACCCTAGAGATTTGATAATAAATAAAACAGTTAAAAATATCTGCTCTTGGGAAGATTATTTGCAAAGAATAAAGATGGACAGTAAATATTAGGGAGAAAAGTTAAACAAAGAAAGGAAAGGTGGTGGGTGGGTTTGTTGAGGTTGTGTGCAGTTTAACTAGGTTGGCCAAGAAAGACTTCACTGAGAAATTGATGTGAAGACTTGAAGGGAGTCAAGGCGTGTACCATACATATATTTGTGGAAAGAATATTCCAGGGTGAACAGCCAGTGCAGACCATGATCAGTACAGGTAATAAAACAAAAAAAAGGAGGGCTGGGGATTTAGCTCAGTGGTTCCCGTCGCCTGCCTCAAAAGCGCAAGAACCCAAGTTCGATCCCCAGGACCAACAAAACAAAACAAAACAAAACAAAAAACAAAAAAAGGAGGCTCCCGCAGCTGGAGAGAGTTAGAGAAAAAGTATGGGGCCAGAGGAGCTAATTGGTGGGTCATATCATATGTGGCCTTAGAGGCCAGTGTAGTGATTTTAATTTTACTCAGAAATTGGAAGCCACTGGAGAGCATTTTTATTTACATTTGGTCAGGATCATCCTGGTTACTGTAATGAGGAAAGACTTTAGGAGAAAAGATCAGAAGTAGGCAGACCATTTAGCATACTATTATAATTATAGATAATGACACTTTCAGCTGGTGGTTTCTGGATGTATTTGGAAAGGAGAACCACTGCATTACGTGTTAGTTGTTTTTTTTTTTTTTTTTTTTTTGGTACCAGGGATCGAACTCGGGTCCTTGCGCTTTCGAGGCTGGCAGCAGAACCACTGAGCTAAATCCCCAGCCCACTGCATTACATTATGGATTGGAAGTGGAGTATGATAAGAGTAGTATAAGGTCTTCGGTGTGAGCACCTGAGAAGGAACAGCATGGTTGCTGAGAAAGGGCCCCCTGCAGGAGAAGCACATTGGGAGCTACAAGAGGAGATTAGTTTTAGAGATCTTAAATTTGAGACATCAAGTGGATATTTTGATTAGGAAGCTAGATATAGCCTAGACATATAAATTTGTTTAATATGTAAAAGTTTGATACTAAATGAGATTACCAAGGAATGATTAGAGATATTTAAGAGGAGCTAATGGGGACAGATGCTCAGGAATAAGAAAGGAACATAAATAATGTTAAGAGTAAGAGAAATGGAGGAGTCTAAAATCACTCTAGTTTCTGTTTGGATAACAAAATAGAAACTGATGAATTTACCTAATAATACAAAACCCAGGGGGACATAAATTGGAGTTTAAAGACCTGTAAGGAGTTTAAGGGTGTGGTGGAGCACATGCTTAGCATGCACTAGGCCCTGGGTTCACTTTCCAGCACTCACCTGCAAATAAATGACCTGTAGAATATTCCAGTAGAGTTGTTTAGTAAAAAGAAGTGTACATAGGAGTCTTGAGATACGGTTTGAGTCAAACATATTTTAAGTTGTGGGACAAGATGAAAATGCCAAAAGAGGATATGCACTGAAAAAGATTCACCCTTAGGAAACACCAATATTTACCATGGGATGTGGAAGGGGAGAGAGTTGTAGGGAAATGAAAGTGAAGAGAGTTTGGGGAAGGAAAGTTCAAAGTGTCAAATGCCAAACAGAGAAGGTAAGAAGAGGACTAGAAAAAAGCAAGTGGATTTAACAGATTGTGATCTTTGTGGAGACAGAATGGTAGAAATGGCCTATTTTCATTAGTCTGGGAGTCAAATAGTAGATAAGAGCTGGGAGATCCATTAGTTAATGCCTGTATGAATTTATTATATTTTACTTATCTAAAATGATACCACAATCTAATAAAAATTGATTTTTGGCAGTTGTCAGGTCAGACATTAACCAGCAATACCAAATATATGAGAAATGAAGTTCCAGTGCTGTGCCAGTCACAGTTCTTGGTTATAGACAATGGAAACTACTGTAATGATAGTTAAAGCAGAAACTTAACAGCTATTGTTAAGCAGAAAGGGAATTTATTGGAAAGGTCTTTGTTCACAGACTTCATAGAGGTCTGGAGAATTAGGCTGTACACACTGGGAGCAACCAAAGGGCACCACACAGCAAAGAACAGCCATTGTCTGACAGAGAAATCTGGGTTAGGCCAGCACACCAGTGGACACCCTCACTGCTGCCTGCGGCCTCCCCAGCACTGCTGTGAATAGCTGGATCTCTGAGTCTCTATGCTCTTATACCCAAGGCTTTTAATCTTAAGGAGTATCTCGGTGGCCAAGCTTTGGTCACATATCTATGCCCTAGTTGCCAGAAGCCCATCTGGTGGCACATGCCTGTAATCCCATCACTCTGGAAGGCTGAGGCAGATGGGTCACAAGTTCGAGCCCATCCTGGGCAATTTAGCAACTTAGCAAGACCCTATTTCAAAAAATGTTTTAGAAAGGGGGAGGGCTAGGGAGGTAGTTAAGTGTGAAGGCCTTGGGTTTAATCCTCAGCACAAAAAAAGAAAGGAAGGAGGGAGGGAAATCATCCCCTCCCCCTAATGTTTCTGTAGTTGGAGATATTTTGCCCATAAAACTTCCCTCAAAGACTATATCTGCTACAAGAAGATGAGATAATTGTGTTCTGGAGAGTCAAACTAAGAACTAGTATTATAGAAATTAAGTACCTAATCTTAAAGATTTGAGAAGACTGATTTGAAATTCACATGACCAAAATGAAAATTATTTAATAAAATCAGAAATATAACCTAAGATTTACTTGACCAATATCAAGTATCAGGACTATCAGATTTAAAACTTGGCTTAATTTTCTCTTAATTCATGCTTTATATTAGAGCCTCTTAAATATCTGC